CAGGAAGACCGCCCGGGGCAGGACGCAGCGTGGCCTCTCTCCGTAAAGTGAGCTGGTTTTCCCAGCACCGCCAAGCGCCACGGCCCCTGTGCAGCAGTCAGTCCCTTTGCCAGGCCTTCGTGCCCGTGGCTTGGCCGTGTGCCAAACACGTGGGGGACCGGCCCCTCTACTCCTTTTCCATGGCGCCTTTGGAATTCACGACCCTCACGTTCCCACATGCGTTTTGAAAGGACTTGGTCAAGTTTCCGAAAAGGAAATCCAGCTGGAACGCGGGGGTCGCCGTGGCCACCCCCTCGCCGGGGGGCTGGAATCTGTGCTGCGGCCCGGCGGAGAGCAGCCAGTCCCCGCCCACCCGGGCGTCCTCCATGTCCTGCCGTGAACGAAGCTCCTTCTCTGCGAAGGCCCCGTTGCCTTGGTTTGTCAGTTTCTCCGCAAAGGCCCCGAGTCCTGTGATGCGTTGTGGCCCGTTATTGTGGTGCAGAGAGCACAGATGGCCGCCACGTGGCCTGCAGAGGTGCCTCTGGAACATGCTGGGTGCTTAGGGCAAGCTGTGGGGGACGGGTCCATGTGGCACTGTGCGCTCTGGGGAGCGTCGGGCAGTTCTCCTCCCAACGGCATGGTGGAGAGCGACAGAAGGGGCCCCTGGCAGAGCTGAGGCCTGGACCCCAAGTCCTGCAGCCTCGCCACCCCCACTGTGGCAGCCACCTCGGATGCTGTCCTCACTTCCAGGGAGGGGCGTGGGTGTGGGGACCAGAGTGCAAGCAGAGGTCCTCGGTGACACCCGGGACAAGGGCTTGAATCTTGCAGAGACCCCCAGCTTGGTCCTCGCTCCCTTGTCCCCCTCCCCAGAAGAAGGGGGGAGGAGCAGAAGACAGGGTGACACCAGCAGTCCTCATACTGCAAAGCCCAGACTGGAGGGACAGTTCTCAAATCCGCCTCAGGGGGCCGGCCGCACTGGAGGACCCTGTCTGACATGAACACATGGCTTTTGCCACATGGAAGGGTTTCGAAAGAGGGGCTATCACGAAACTTTTATTCCCATCTCTTTCTTTGGTGAGCAAGTTTTACTCTTTTATCTATGAAGATAAAAACAGAAAAAAAGGCAGTGAGGGGCCGGCCTTGCCCAGCCCTGAATGACAGTCTGCCCTGAAGACGGACAGCTCGTTGACTAGAGCTTTCCCAGCTCACATTGCTTCCTGTTTGGTTCTTTGTGAAAATTTGCAATCGTGTGTCATTTTGGTTGCGTATTTACGGTGAATGTAGGAAGAGCAGTCCAGATAAAATTCTGGTCACCAGATTCTGCCACGTGGCCTCGCGAGTTAAAACGCCCGTCCACCTCCACACACGCGCATTTGGAGGGGCAGCAATCCCTCCTTTCGATGGCTGACACCAGTAAAGGGTGGTGTCAGCCCACACCTTCGTCCCAGGTTGGCCAGGAGCTCTGTCCCCGTGTGCCCCTCCCCCTCTGGCACAGGGAGCACAGTGGTGGCCGTGCCCTGCTGGTACAGCCAGCGCTTCACTGGGCTCTGCAGGGCTGTGGATGGGGACAGGCTCATGGCTGCTGTGTGGCCTAGATGAGAACCACTGTCTGTAACGTCTCGTTGGGCTGAGATTCTACGGGAGGCTCTAGGGGAGGAGGGCCCGCTAAGGTTCCGGCTGGGGAGGGTGAGTGGCTAAGTGGCCCAGGGTGAGCGTCACATTGCAATGGCATTGTGATCCCACTGGGCGCACCGGAAAGGCTGCTGTCACGTTCTGCCGGCAGCACGTGCACTGTGTCGGGACGGACGCTTCACACAGCGTGGAGGGCAGTTTCAGACAACCTACAAATGAGTGGCGGTTTCGAACAGTTTTCAGGCTTCATTTAGGGGATCTCCAAGCCAAACGTTAGCCCCATGCAGGCTGCACCTGCCTGCAGGAAACCTTCACCCCTGCTTCCCAGGTGTCCTGTGCACCTGCTCCTGTGGTTGGCAGACCTGTGTGGCCAGCCGCCAGGCCCTCTCATCCAATTGTCATCGAGCGGTTCCAAGAGGCTCCACAGGAGCACCAAGTCCTCCAGAGTGTCCCGGCCTCCCACCACTGGACACACCTCTGGATCACTGCCAAGGTGTCTTGTCTTGGGACACCGCCCACCATGGACCCCAGCCCAGCCCCTTGCTGCCTGCAGGGACTGCTGTCGTCCTGGCGCTGGCAGTGACGGAGGCCCCGGGCCTGTCGCCATCTCCCACATCAGAGCAGGGCCCAGAGCTGGGTCGGCTGGGCCCCGTGCAGCGCCGAGTAGGTATGGACACTTCTGGGGTGGCAGCAGAGCCCCACGACACCTGGCGGGCAGGGTAAGGGGACCCACACCAGCTCTGCCGGACTCAGCGGGCTGCCTCTCCATGGAAGGGCTTCCCTTCCAGCCCCGCCATTCCCAGGAGTGGGTTGGGAACCCACGCTGCATGTCTCTGGAGAAGCTTCTGGAAAGCAGCCGAGGCCCAGGACACTCACACCAGCCTCTTCCTACCGTGCCTCCCGCCAGAGGCTGAGGCAGGAGTCTGTCCCTGCGGCAGGGCTGGCCGCGGTCTGTCACAGGAGCCTGGACCACCTCAGCACCGAGGAGCTGGCTCCCTTGTCCCCGTCCCCTGCTCCACAAATCGCCAGGCGCACCGTGCGCATTGGAGCCTCTGGCTGCCCTCAGCCCTTGGCCTTGGAGAACCTGTCCAGGCTCGAATCCACGGCCAGACAGCTCTGCAGTGTGCGCCCGACGCGGCGGGTCACACGGCCAAGTGTGACCGCACTTCCTGAGTTGCCTTCCGCTGAGACTGCCTGAGGGGGCACAAGGTGACCCGGGACCCAGGCACATCCCGGGACAGGCACAGCTGTGCACGAGGCACGTTTCCTGGAGCACCAGGGCCAGGCCTCTTCACGTCCAGCCCCTCCACTGCCAACCGACTCACAATAGCTGTTCGTGGGGTGTCTGCAGTCAGGAGAGCCCCAACCCTGAGGCTGGGGACCAGTGTAGGCTCAGGGCTGGGGCACTGGAACCTCGGTTTCCCCAACTGTAAACCGGGGAGGCGGTGCTAGCAGCATTCCCAGCGGCTGGCGGAGGGCCTCGCCCCTTCACAGCGCACGCACCCCGTCCTGGTTCCTCGTGGGGCCCACAAGAAGGTCTTGGGCTCCGACGGGCTCTGCATTTCTCCCTCACCATGGCTAACGCAGTGCCAGGGGCTCCGCCTGGGCCTGCACGCTCGCCCTGCCACCCCAGGGGCCTTCCTGGAGGAAGCGGTCACACGCTCCCAACACCAGTGCCAGAAGCAGCCTGCGGGAGGAGTCAGGGGCGGGAAATGCTTCCCTCCCAGTGACGTGCTCGAGGGCCGTCCACAGGTCTCGAGAGCAAAGCTGTGTGGCCCTGGCGGTTCCCAGAGTTCTTTGGACAAGTGACTTCTGCTTCCTGAGCAGAGGAGGCTGGCCCCATGAGGAAGCCTGCTGTGGGGCCGTGTCTGCAGCTGTGAGGAGCCGAGGGTCCTGAGCCGCCCTGCCCCAGTCTTGTCACCCGGATGGACCTGCCACCGACTCAGACTGTTGCCCCCCGAGGCTGCTTTCTGTGGTTTGTGAGACATGGGCTCGCTCTGCCCTGCCCAGGCCCCGGTCCCTCTGCCGCAATGCTCAACGCACCTGTACTGGGCACCTGGCCAGAGGGGACACGTGGGGCTGTGACACCAGCTGCCAGCCTCGGCCGAGCCCGTGAGCCCTGGGCATTGCATGGCCAATGTTCGGCATGAGCGCTGGCCCCACACCTGGGGAGGACGTGGGCCCAGCAGGCGTCAGAGGCCACGTGAAAGCTAACTGTACCCCCGCCCCCCTGACCTGGCGCATTGAGGTGGAAAGCCATGCTGGGTGTCCCACTGGAGCGTTTATTTTGGTGATGGGTGCAACGCAGGAACAGGCTGGCGTGCGGAGCTGACGCAGCGTAAGCAGCCGCCGACCGGCCACGCGGTCCCCCTGCTCGCGGCCGAGGCTGCACCAGGAGGCCAGCCACTCCGGGCTGCGATCTGCGGGATACGACGTGCAGCCTCAGCCGATCCGCAGGGCTCCCACAGTCTTCCCTGGTCTCTGGACCCAGCCACGTTCCAGCCTCATCTGAGAGGGGGAGAAGTGGAGAGGCGGGGCGTGAGCTGGGGTCCCCGCAGGGGCCGGGGCGCACGGTGGCGTGCTGGGCATGCCTTCTCTGCAGTGTGGCTTTCACAGGGTGCCTGTGTTGGCCTGTGTAACCTGGGCAGGGAAGGGTAACCCAACCGTGACAGCGTTCCAGGAGTGGGCCCGCACGGGAGCAGGACCCGCTCCTCCCCGTGGAGCCAAGGGCGGCAGCGGGGAGGGAGGGGCAGGGTTGGCTGTCCTGGGGGACATGCATGGGGGGGGGGGCTCACTTCTGCAGGCTCTGCAGCTCCGGTGGCAGGTCACAGCCCGTATACACGCCATTCGTCACGCTGTACTCCAGCAGCGCACCGAAGCAGGGGTCCTGGCAGACACAAGGGCCTCAGAGCCACCCCCGCCCCGCCCCCCAGGCCCCACCCTCCTCAGAGACCCGGGCCCACAGGATGAGGGGTGCGTGGGGGGATGGCTCACTCTGACGAGAACGTGAGGGTTCCCCAGCACAATCAGCAAAGCTTTGGGTCTGGTGATGGCAACGTTGAATCTTTTTGAGTTGGACAAGAAACCCAAAAAATATCTGTCATCTTCAAATCTATCTTCATTGGACCGAACCTAAAACACAAAGATTAATAAATACAATATTTCAAGTTTTTTGGCAGATAAAGAAACTTGATATAAAAAAGCGCTTAGTAACATTCAGCGTTGGTGGGACCTCATTTTTGGTTGGAAAGAGAAAAGCAGTGGGTGGGGGAGGGGCGGGCCTCCCAGTGCAGGGCTTTAGGTGATTTTCCTTTTCCTGCCTGAATTTTTAAAACTTATTTGCAACTGACATTCTGTTCGATAAGGATAATTTACACGTGAAGAGTGGAGATGTGACAGCTTAGTTTTCGGTGGAAGCCTCGCCTCTGACCCGCCCCCCACTGCTCTCCATTTCCTCTCTTCTCCCCACCTCTGTCCCCCCCCACCCCCGGGACGTTTGCCACCTCTTGCTGGGTCCCTTTTCCTCCCCTTCCTGTCCGCTGACCTTTGGGTTACTTTTGAAAGGGCCCCGGAGCCACAGCTGGCGGGGAGGCCCGGGGCTGGCAGTTGCCACCCCGCGCCCGCGTTTCTGTGACACCCCTGCCACTTTCTACCTGAATGGGCCAGGAGCCCACTGACCCACGGTGGCCCAGACGCTGCCATCCCCCCAGGACGGGACACGTACGGCCGAGATGATGATGGCCAGGTGCTCCTGCCCCTGGAACTCCTCCACCGACCCCACTTTGATGTCCGCCAGCTCCACGTTTCTCAAAAGGATTCTGATTTTCTCCACCTCGGAGCAGGTAAAAAGATGATAGTTTCAAAAATCTGACTATTGGTTGACAGCCCACAGCATAATTGAGCAGTGGCCAATGGACTGGTCAGTCCCAGACCAGGCTACCTCATGTCTGAGGTGATGGGAACCCAGATGCCGACTTCAGGGGGTGTGCATGGGGTGGAGGAGCAGTACCTGGCAGGACACAGCGAGGACACTGGCTGCTGGGCGGGCTCCAGAGCGCCTCCCTAGGGGCAGGGGTGGAGGAGGGATGGCAGAGGCCCCTTTAGGGGACTCCCCCTCCCCAAGGACTGGAGCCTTCCCCACAACAGCAGCCTGGAGAGGCTGTGCACCAAGTGTCACCATGATGGACAGCCAGGAGGTGCACAGCTGGTGCCAAAAGTGGCCCAGGAGCCAAGAAGAGGGAGGGAGTGGCCCAGAGCTGTGGGAGGGCTGAGACCGGGAGTGTCTCAGTCTCCGGAGACCAAGGTCTTGGCTGGGTGCTTCTAGAAACAGCCAGTGTCAAGTCTTGGAACAAAGAACACAGCATTGAAAAGCAGCTCAGCAGTGGGAGAAACCGAGAGTCCTCAGCAGCGGGGTACGGGGGGTGGGGGGGCACCAAGGGAAGGTGCCCAGAGGCTGCCAGACAGTGGGCTCAGAGACTTGGTGGACACATGTCCACCAGCAGCTGCAGCCCAGGATGGGGCACCTGTGCAGGCCAGGCACATGGTCCCGACAGGGGACAGAAAGCACAGCGTACACTGCGGTCCAGCTGCATGTCGAGAAGAAAGGGGACATGTCTCGGCTGTCGAGCAGACGTGAAAGCCACCCGCAGTCGGACAGAGGGCAGGCGCCCGGGCACGGGACAGGCCACAAGATGGTGGGGTGATGCCTTCAAACAACGAGGGCAAGCAGCAGAACCCCAATTCAGGAAACTCCAATTCAGAAGGAAAACACACTTTTCTGATAAAAGCTGGAATTCCTAAATTCACAAGAGCGAGGAGTTAAGAATCAGGAGAAGAGATAGGAAGACTGGCTACGAGGAACTCGGATCCAGGTGTCACCTCAGCAGTGTCGGTGACTGAGCCTGTGGTCCTGCCGGACGCCCGTGGAGCAGGAGGCAGAGCCGAGGCCAGGCCTGTGTGTGTGGCAGGGACAGGCGCCAGGCAGGGAGAGCGGGCAGCCTTGTCATCATCTGACCACACAGTGGACAGTCAGGTTAGACCCCGATCTCCACCCACACCCCAAACAAACCCAGGTGGATCGAAGGTCGAACGGTGAGAAGTGGATTCAAAACTTTGGGAAAAAAGGGGGAAAACGGCCTGAATTCAGGGCGGGGAAGGGCTCCGCAGACAAAAATGGAAAGCACAGACTATAAAAGGAACGACTGAGCCGTGCGATCAGACGCACGCATGCACGTGCACGCGCACACAGAGACCACTCTGCACACACAACCACCAAGGGCCTGGACGCAGGAAGTCAACTGCGAAAGCACACTGCTGAGCACACACACACTCAGGTGCAACCGAAGGTGGCGGTGGACGCGAACAGGTCCTGAGAACACGAGGAAAAGGCCGCTGAACGCGGAAACGACTCTCGAATCCCTGACGCCAGCGGAGCCCCGCACTGCCCCTACCCCACGCCCGGCACGGCTGCCGGGAGCGGGCACGAGCAAGTGTTTGTCTGTAGACACGGGAGGTGGGGCAGAAGTGGCCAGCCCCCGACAGGGCAGCAGGCGGGAAATGTGCCACCAAGAGAACACAGCAAGCAGAGGGGGCCCCGCCCACAGCATCCTATCACCAGGGGAGGTGACGTTCCCACACTGCAGACGGAGGGGCAGGCCAGTGGGAGCCCCGCTGGGACTGGGACGCAGGGGCAGGAGGAGGGGAAGGTGACACGAGGGGCCAGGTGCTGCTTCGGGAGCTTGTGTGCACTTCCCTTCTGTGGCCCTGTGGATGAGGAAGCACAAGCGAGCTCGCTGGAGCGGGTCCACACCTGCTTCCGGTAGGGCGTGATCACACCGATGTCGCTCGCGGACACCTGGCTGGAGACGCTCCTGGCCAGCAGGCAGCAGTAGCGCATGACCTGGACGGCTTCGGCCGGGTTGAACCATGATGGGCTTCTCCCTTCCCGAGCTTCGTTGCCCTGAGTTTGTGGGGAGACAGGAGAGTGGCTTGTCCGTCACAAAGCCACAACTGCTCAGGAGATGCTGGTTCGGGGCTGTTGGAGCAAAGTGGGCGCTAGGAACTGGCAGAACGAGGCAGGCGGGGAGCAGGGCTGGCGGGGAGTGCCACGTGGGGGACCGCTGACACAGGGGTGCAAAGTCAGCGGGGCTCGTGTGCACTGCGCACGTGCAGGACCAAAGCTGATGCCAGGACAGGGGGTGGCGGCCGAGCCCAGAGGCAGGGCCGTGCAGGGCTGACCGCACGGCGACAGGTGGCCGGCCAGCTGCGCTCAACCCAGGTGGCTGCGGCACGGCCGCTCACGCAGGCCCCTGCGCCCCCGCATGCAGGTGTGGGCCCCCTCTCCCCTCAGTCAGGAGAGAAGACATGCGGACGGCCAGTGGGCACACGCAGAGGGCTCGCCACCACCGCCACTGGGCGCTGTAAATGAAAACCCTGAGATCCCGCCTCACACCCACAGGACGGCTCCCATCAGAAAAGCCCCGGGGATGGCAGTGCCGGCGAGGGTGTGCAGGGGCTGCACCTTCACGCACTGCTGCCGTCGCCGCGGAGAACAGCGCGGTGTTTCTCAAAGACTCAGAAACAGGGTTCCCGTGCTCCCCAGCAGTGCACTTCTGGTGTCCAACCCAAAGGAAGTGACCCTGACCGACACCTGTATGGCCAGGGTCATGGCAGCGCCGTCCACGGCAGACAAAGGTGGGAGCAGCCGGGCGTCCACTGGGGGAGGAGCGGAGAAAATGCACTCCGCCCACACAGAGGGACACCTCAGCTTGAAGAAAGACGTTCTGACACCTGCTCCAACATGCTGGACCTTGGGGACACCAGGCCCAGTGCGAAAAGCCAGTCACAGAAGGACAGTGCTGTGGGGTCCGCGTAGACGAGGACCGGGGAGTCAGAGGCATGAGACAGAAGAGGAGGCCAGACGGGGCTGGGGAGGGGTCAGTGTTTACAGGGACAGAGTCTCGGTTTGGGAGGCAGAAAGCTGTAAAACTTGGTTGCAAAATGACGTGAATATCGATACCACTGACTATATATGCAAAGTGACTAACATAATAAATTTTGTACGCGTGTTTTACTACAATTTAAAAAAGCGTACACCAGATAAAGCAGTAAGAACACGCTAATTTCCAGGGTGTGTCTGCTGTTGTTAAGCTGTACGTGATCTACCCCTTGGATTTATGATAAAAGGTCGAGACCACTAAAAAACAGACCAATGTGATAGAAGCTCACGTCAGAACTTCTACACTGAGGAGAAAAATTCAGTGAATATCAAGCAAACAAATACAAGAAATAAGGAAATGAAAGAAACAAGTAATAAAAGATGAAGGTATGAAGTTAGATGACTGTAGATTTGAGTCACATCTCATTAAAAGCAGAGACTCTTAATTGGATTACATAAAACACTCGCTGCTTCTAAGAAACACACCTAAGTAAAATGATAAAGAAAATAAAAGCAGGGCAAAGAGGCGCCGGGTAAGAAGAAAATCGGAGTGGCAACATCGTATTACTACACGGCGGAACTTCAAGCAAAAACCGCGAGGCGGCATGGAAGGGCGTCGTATGAAGAGGAAGATAAAACAATCGGAACCGTGTCCACGCGAAGCAGCACACTAGTTGACTACATCAAGCAAAAACCAGCCGAAATTCAAAGAGAATTTGATAAAAAAGGGCCGGCACCGTGGGCCTTCCCCGCGCCCTGCCACTCGCGCCCAGCGGACAACAGCTAGGTCAGGACGGAGCTGCCATGTGACAGACTCCGCCAATTTCTTTTAAAAATGTACAGGGAACTTATAACTCCCAGGTACAGAATATAAATTTTTTTCGTATGTCCTCAGAACGTTTACCAAAACTGATGAGACGAACACAAATGTTTAAAGCTGAGAGTTCACAGGCCACAGCTCTTGATCACCACCTAAAAAACACTCGAAATAAAAAAGAGGAGCCCAAATGCTCTCAGCCACTTGGAAGTTAAGGAAGACACGTCTCTGTAAGCCTTGGATCGCGAGGAGAGGAGGAGGAAGTCACGTGTCTAGAAGCCATGAAGACGTGTGGAAAGCAGAGCTGCCTGTGAGGGACGCTGCTGTCACCGTGCCCGTCTGCTGAGAGGGTGGGAAAAGCGGGACGAAAACAGACGGTGAGGGACGACCAACGAAGCTGAACTAACGAAGCAGGAGACTCAGGAGGAAACTGTCGTCCGCGGTTGCTTTTCCTCCTGGCCTGGAGGCGGCACAGTGTCCTGTGAAGGACGGTGGCCACGCCCAGGGCTTCCTCAGGCCACGCTGGCTGGAGGAGCAGCCAGACCAGCACCTGTGGCCAGGGCCAGGCACAGCATCTGCCGTGCTGGTGGGGGGCCCAGGGGAGGGGTGGTCCCAGCCACAGCTACCTCGGCCTCCTGGGGCTGCCCTGCGGCTCCTCCCCCTGCGCCCCTGTGCTGGGCACTGGGACAGAGCAGCGAGCCAGAGGACGAGCTTCCTGGGGGAGGGGCTGCCAGTAAGGTGACAGGGCACTGATTTCGTACCCCAGGGGCTGAAGTGGCCCGGGGAGCCAAGGGCGAGCGTGTAGATGTCAGCAACTGTGATAAAACCCCCTTTGCTCATAGGGTGGGAGGGGACCGTGGGCTCTGTGCTGGTGTGGCGCCCGCATCGCATCCTGAGGGCCGGCACGGAGCCCAGCGCAGCCCAGCGGGCTCCCGGGCGCGGCCGCGGCTGCTCCCTGGGCCCAGGCCTGTGCACCGCACTTTATCCCACAGCACCGTGCCCTTGACTGCTGCAATCTGCAGGCCGTTCCTCACGAGAAACCGGCTAAGACTTCGCAGATGGCAGGAGATACACGTGTCAACGTGGGCAGCACTGACCTCACTGCCCACGTCTCTCCGTGCACCCTCAGCCCATACGCTCAAGCAGTGCTCCCTGGTCACTCCACATCCCTTGGCCTGGCCTCTAGAGACTTGGCGGACCTCTGGCCTCTCCCCACCCCGGCTCCCCCAGTCTGTCTAACACACAAGGAAACGTCTGAGGACAGGCCAAGGGCAGCGCAGGGGACGAGTGTCCTCGGAGGCTTTGTGCCGAGAGGACTGTGTTGTCAGATGTGTGGCTACCAAATCCCAAGGGAAGGCACCCCAGCCACACTCATGCATACCACCACGTCTCCCACAAAGCAGGAGCCCAGAAGTACACTTCAGCTGGTGCCGCCCCAGGAGGCAGGCTGCAGAGAGGGGCAGACTTCAGGGGTGCCTGTGCTAGCTTCTCCTGCCCTGGAGTTGGGGGCACCCCAACTTGGATGAGAACCTGAGGGTGTTGACAAAACGTTTGACTTTTGGTTCTGACAGCCAATTCCTGAGCTGTCCTGCTGCCCCGCCCCATGAGGCCGCGTTGGGGAGGGGGCTCTGGTCCTGCTGCCCTGTCACGTGACCCTGACCGCAGAGTGGTGGGCACTGTGCTGCTGCCCAGCGCCCCTGGGTCCATTGGTCTGTGCCCCGCCCCCCGCCCGCCTTCCTACCAGCTCTTCAATGAGTCTCCGTGACCTGTGATGCCCGCGAGGCCTACTCTAGGCCAGCATCGTCCAGGCCCTTTCTCTGTGGGATCACTGAGCAGAAGGGCTGGTCTGGGGGTGTGGGAGAGGGGGCAGAGGCCTCTCCTTCCTGGCCTTACTCCTGGGAAAGAGCAGGGCGTTGTCCAGCCACAGGCACTTGCTAACACCACTGAACTGGTGGCAACGAGCCTGTCCACAGCCCCGAGGGTCAGCGCCGGGAGCAGGCGCAGCGGCCAACTCACCCTCACGCCATGGAAGACCAGGGGGAAGCCCTTCCTCGGCAGCTTCTCCCAGCCCAGCAAGGCGGTCACCACCCGGGGGTCTGCGCAGACCTGCAGCTCGCGGTGGTAGAAGAGTCTAGAGGGCAGGGCCAGCAGTGCCGCGTGAGACCTGTAGTTCTTCACCAGCTTCGTGACCTGCGGGGCGAGAGCAGGCGCAAGGCCGCAGTCAGCGTGCGCAGCTGACCGTGCCGGACGCCGGGTGCCTCTGGCTCAGAGGGTGCACGGGCCGAGAGCCCCTCGCCCCAGGGACACCCTTCCTCTCCTGGCCCGGAGTCTTCCACCTGAGTACAAAGTGATTGGGGAGCCTCAGGTGACTTTCTGGACGAAGGAAGGGTCCATTCCAACAGGCACGGTGCGCATGCGGGAGCCAGGAGTCCCGCAGGAGCCCTGGGGGCCAGCTGCGGGCCTGGCTGCGAGCGGCCTGGGAGTCCGGGCTCAGCTCAGCTGCAGGAGGCATGGGTGGCACGGCGCCCCGGCCCCAGGGTCTGGCTGGCACCCTGCTGACGGCTGCCACTGACACATTCCTTTCCTGCCTCTGCTTGGCTGGGCAAGTCCACGAGG